TATTATAGCATTTTTTTTCATGTTTCAGTCATTTGTATACTTTCAAAAAATTTCCTACTCAGTACTGTTCACAAACACAAACAGTTCTGGGAGCAGGCATTAAATATATTCAGTGGCAAAAGGGGACAGAAAGGGAGCTTCTGCTATAAAGGCAGCTGCTTCACCATCAGGTCTGGAGTTTGGATGTTTACCAAGAAGTACTACTTATTTTAATTGTTATTTTCGATAGTTTATGTTTTCTCAATATTCTGTTAAGCCCTTATATGATAAAAGAATTACATTTTCCCACTTTATATATATTGCCACTTTCTTGACAAAAGTAAAAATGTCCTTATTAAATAAAAAATTTTTAATTTGACAACATCCAATTATATAAGTTTTTCTTCTACATTTTGAACTTTTGGTAGTGTATTTAAAAATGTACCTCCATATCCAAAGTCATGAATATTTGCCATCATGTTTTTTGGTGAGTTTTATGGTTCTAGTTTTCACTGAGAAAGGTTACTGTTTTGTAGATGTTGTGAAGTTCAAGTCCCTTCTTTTGTCTGGGGGGTATCCAGTTGTCCCAGCCATCACTTGCTGAAGAGATTGCCACAAGGCTAAATCCAGAAATTATGGATAATTTTTCCAGTAGTTACTGCTTACTTGCAAAAGCTAACACCTGGACACTGATAACCTCATGCTCCCACATGCTAAGCATGAAATTAGCAAATACGTGGGAATCTCTAGGGAAAATTACAAACCAGCTGAACTTGCCGGGTATCATCGAGACACTGCAGAAGACCTTAGGCTCATTTTAATAATATTAAAAAATCCATCCACTAATGCTAGGACATATCTGACAAAGTTGAAATTAGGAAAAAGAGGCGGGGCCACTGTAAGTGAGAAATCTCTTCCCATTCACATGAATCACCCTGCTGGCAGCACACATACCACATACATCCCCTTAAAAATTCCTTCCTCATAAAATCGCAAGCTCCAAATCTGATTGGGATATCAGGTGTGATTGGAGCATAAATTCCCTTTCTGTATCCTTTGAACACTGAATAAAATTGGATGCCTGCTCCCCAGAACCATTTGGCTATTTATGAATATCACTGTATAAGAAAGGAACCTGCATACTCAGTAATGATGACACTGACCACCCAGTGTGTGGTTCCGGGACTGCTGTCAAGAATCAATTAGCTTCAGATGCCTGTGCTTATTTGACTTTTATTCCTTTGATCCATGTCTCTAACTGTGTCAGTACCACACTGTTTGGATTACTACAGTTATGTAATAAGTACTGAAACTGGGAAATGAGAGCCCTCCTTCCGTCTTATTTTTCAGGTTGTTTTGGCTAGCCATGATCAACTACAATTCTATGGCTTTGAGAACTGGCATTTACATTTTATAAATATTTCTAGAAAAATGAAAAGTATAACTTCTCATTTCCACATTAAAAATTTCAACCGACTGGATTATGTTCTATAGGCCAATGCTCTGCTCGAAACAACAGACAGTTAAAGGTAAAAGCTGAATAAAACACACTGTTAGCACTCCAGCTTTTGATGCCTTGTCAGCAAACTGTATGAACTGAATATGTGTATGTATTTCATGGCACTGTAGTTATCAGCAAATCAATAATGGAATATAAAGCAGAGAATGAAGCAGCAAGTTAGATCTTTTCACACTAATAAATCTTTAAATTGCCAAGTCTAGTGCCAAATGCAGTAGGCAGCATGTCAGTCTCAAAAATGGTACAATCAACAATACAACATACAACCATTGCTCAAATCAGAATCTCAATAATGGTCATAGAATATTAATAATTTATATTGTATAATTCCAAATAAATCCATAAGTAAAGATTATTCTTCATCTTCTATGGGCTGTTTATAAAGAATGAGCACTTGAGACATCTAAAAAGAGCAAAGAACTATATTACTTATGAAAGGGACTTTCTGGATTAAGAAAAACAAATATTGATGGAGCTGGAGAGATAGCACAGTGGTTGAGAACACTGACTGTTCTTGCAGAAGACCTGGATTCAAATCCCAGCACCCACATGGCAGCTAACAACTGTCTGTAACTCCAGTTCCAGGGGCTCCAACAACCTCTTCTGTCCTCTGTGGGCATTGCAAGACACGGGTGCACTTACCTAGATGCAGGTAATACATGCATAACCATAAAAATAATAAATAAAATATTTTTAAAAAGAGAAAAAAAGAAAAATAAATATTGGCATACAGGCATGATATGCTCTGAAGACAGGTATGAGCTAGTATTTCAGCAAACACTTTCTTGAAAAGCTATAACAAAAACCACTCCTGATTTAAATATAACTCAGTTAACATTTTCCAAATAAACTACGATAAAAGAATAGATGTAAGTTTATTCTATTTCAAATTGTTTGGCTCTTTTCTAATCAAGATTTGTAAATTCAACAGTAATTATCCCAATTATAGTTCTCTAAGTTCTCATACTTCTATAATGCTTACACCTACAAAGAGAGAAGCCAGGGCTATGAAATTGTACATCTTTAAAAACAACCTAGTCAAATATTCTAATGGAGGCAGGGGAGAGGCTGGAACTTCTTATAAATTATTATAAGATAGACAATCAAGATAGCCATTATCTGACATACATTTAGGACCACAGCAAAATTAACATGTAAGATTAATATTTTAGATTAATATTTAAGATTAAATAATAAATTAAACCATTCACACTATACTGCCAAACCCAGCCTATAAAATGGTACTCTAAAAGAATTAAAAAATATGCGGATGTCTCACATTTTACACATGAGAAAACACAAATGAACAGAAAAGGCCAACAAATTTTTCAGCAGCTGGAAATGCTAATTTAATTACTGAAGAGAAATCATGCAGAGAAGCTGACTGCTCAACATGATTTACAAAGCATACAGGAAGTTACATAAAAGTATCAAGAAATTTTTAGTACCTAGTGATAGTCATAAACCCAGATTCCTAGGATGTATAGGTAATATATTTGATCAGAAAAGGGCTAGATAAAAAGTGTTAGCCCAACAACATCAAAATATTAAAAAATACACATAAACACATAAGATGTGCTAATATTCCAATAAAAGTAGAAAATGTACCTAAAATAATGCAAAATAAAAAGGACAATCCACTTTGACTCTAAAGATGAAAGAACAAAGTATTGTTTTGCTAAATGAATACACCATAGGCCCTGTTAGAAACTGTAGCTGGGGACTCAAGGGATTGTTCAGTTGGTAAAATACTTGCCACATAAGCAGGAGGACCTGAGGTTAGGTACCCAGCATCCATTTAATAGCTTTGTGCAGTGGTGTACCTCTGTAACTCCCATGGGGGAGTGGAAATGAAGAAGTCAGCCTAGCTGAATTGATGAACTCCAGGTTAAATGAAAAACTATCTCAGAAAATAAGGTGAAGAACAATCAAAGAACATAACCTCTGGGCTCCACAAGCATTCCCACAGAAGGATGTGCACCCTCAACCCATACGTGCACATACCCACATATATCACTCAGCCCCTCCCCTCACAAACACAGTTAATGAAGTATTTTCAGAGCATTTATTTCATTAAAAAGGGAAAATGTGCTGGGTGTGGTGGTGCACGCCTTTACTCCCAGCACTCAGGAGGCAGAGGCAGGCAGATCTCTGAGTTCAAGGCCAGCCTGATCTACATAGTGAGTTCTAGGTCTGCTGGGGCAACAGGAAGACTCTGCCTCAAAAAATGGGGAAGGAGTATTTTTATTAATTCAAACAAAAAACTGGATGATGAGGTTTGTAGTTCCACTGAAGCTAATAAGAAGTGAGTTCTATAGCAACATAAATAAATTAAAAGCAACATTGTTCAAAAGAACATCATGAAATTCTCACTGAAGTGAATTTAACTGAAATGGGGTGATGGCAATCACCTTTACTCACTGTGATGGACCATCACATCAGAGCAAGATTATTTTCACATAGTGTTATCAGGGCTCACTGCTAAAACATTTTTCCTACATGCATTAGTATGTTTACATATGTTCCATTTTTAACTTATTAGAATTTATTTTGTAGATGTATGTCCTACAATAAACCATATTTGAATTCCAGTAAAAATTCTCAGTAACCACAGATGTAATTCTTTCATTACATTGGTGGTTTCTGTTAGCTGAAGTTTTAGTGTTTTTTAACCTATATTATTATGTGAAACACTATTCTAGAGTTTTGTTTTATTACACCATTTATGATCATGGTAGTTATACTGGTTGTATAAAATGTTTTCTTCTTTTATAAGCTACCATAAACATATCAACAACATTATGAGTTTATCTCTCTTTACATATTAGAATGAACCTATTTAGTACTTTCAAATTTCTTCCAATTCTAAAATGGTCTTGCCAAATTTTCTGGTTCACCTACGTGACTTTTGGTCATTTATAGCTATAAAACCAGTAATTTCCTCTATGAAATTCATGTTTGTTGCACATGTTCATGAACTACTCCAGAGATAAGCACTGGTCACTGGATGATCTATCACATGACATTGTCCTTGATGAGCAACCAAAAAGACCTGCAGGCCTGGCAAGATGGCTCAATGGGTAAAGGCCTAGTCTGCCAAACCTGACCACCTGTTTGATACACATGGTGGAAGGAAAGAAACAACTACAAGTTTATTCTCTGACCTCCACACAACCTGTCTTTATAGCCACACACACATCCTGAGTCTTCCCAGACAGGACCAAATACTTTGCTAATTTTCTTTGGAAAACTATTAGAGCCATTGCCCAGCTTCCATTATTAAAATCAGGTAAAACAAACACAAAGGTGCTCTGCTCAAATGGCAGTTGAACTCAATTTAAATGAGAGGGTTTCACAGAATCCTCCATGATTTTCACAAAGTAAATATTAAGTTCATATAGCATGCTCCTTTAGACAATACTACCATTCTACCTAAGGTTTTCAAAATTACCATTTAAAAACAGTAACGTACTTCTCTATCAAACACATTTGAGTAACCTACCTCAAATTCTGCATGTCTGTGAATATCCTCTGCTCTCTGTCTGTTCAAGATAAATTCAGCTTCATTTGCCACTCTTACTAAATGATCCTTCATTGTTTGGCTAAGCAATCTGTAAGAGATTAATATGTCAAATAAGTATATTTTCTTCTTTTAGAGAATAGGGAATATTTAATATCTTGTTCTTATTTCATACATAATGAGGTATCAATCAATACTCCACACTGTATAAGTATGCAGCAACAAAAGTTTACCCTTCTAACAATAGTGGATTAGCATGGGCCAACCAACAAAACCAGCTAATAATTGTATACTAAAGTAACGATTAAGTCTTTTGAAAGACAACAGAAAGATAGCATTATTTGGGTAAGAGTTCCCCAAAAGTGCACATCTTAATGACTCTTTTCCTCAGTTCATGACAATCCTGGGAGTAGACGGACGGACACAAGAGTTGGGATGTAGAAGTTAGATCAGCAGGAGTGTGCCCTTAAATGGGTTATTGGAGTTTCAAGCTCTTTCCCCTCTTGCTTCCCAGCCACCCTGAGGTGAACAGCTTCTTATTCCATGCATTCCCACCAAAGAGCTGTCAGCAACCTCACAGAACCAAGGAGACCAAAACAGGCAAACAACCTACAAGATGGAGAATGGCAGATTACCCAGGCTTTCAGCAGAACTTCAAGCTTACCCTCAGATACCAGAAGTAAACCAGGATACAAAACACTGAAAAATCATCTTCAAAAAAATTACAGTCACTTAAATCTAAACAAGTTCACAGAGAAAAAGGTAAGCCAAGTTTTCAGCAGGGAGAAAACAGTAGAAATCCAAACGCAGAAGCAATATGCAAAACTCCAGCTTTGTGAAGAAATTCAAAAGAACATAGCTAAGAACAAAGACTAAAATAATCCAGCCTTGAATAAATTCAGTCAATAAATTAATGTCTTCAGCCCTGACCACGTGGGTTGGTCACACTGCATCTTCAGTCTGGAAGCGTAGAGAGATGAATGCTGGTACACAAGTGCTTTGTCCTTTTATTCAGCTTGGCATCCCAGCTCATGGAATGGTACCACCCACAATAACAGCGGGTCTTCCAATATCAATTAAGCCAGTTTAGAAACTCCCTCACAGACATGTCCATATGTCTGTTTCTTAGAAGATTCCTGACCATTTGAAGTCTACTCTTTATCAACTTGATAACCAAACATCATTTCTTTTCTAAGTCATAACCATCCACCTATTATCCCTGTAGGCTCACAGCCATCTCATAATGCATAATTTCAGCCGAAACTCAAAAGACCCCACATAGTCTTTAACACTTCCAACACTGTTTAAAGATTTAAATTTTCTTCTGAGACTCAAGGTTATCACTTAACTGTGACCCCTTATAACATCAAAAAACAAGTTACATACAATGGCACAGAGTAAACATTTCCCATTCTGAAAGAGGACAACAGGCATATAGCAAGGAAAGATATGACCAAAGCAAGATGGAAGCCCAAGGCAGACCTCAAGTCCTTCAGTAACATGTTTAGTATCTGGAGCTTCTGATGGAATCATCTGGGCTCCAAAGAGCTTGAGTGGTCCCATCCCTCCAGCTCGCCTCCTGAAGCATACACTGATGTTCTTTTGAGCCAGCTCTACTCCAAGCTTGAGCAAAAGCCCAGTGGCTCTGGCATTTCCAATATCCTGAGGTCTATATTGCAACTTAGGCTTCACCTTTACTTGCATTAACAGGGCATTCAATCCTGCTGAACACTGCTGTGTCTAAGTAACTTTCTAGAACCTTGGCATAAGCCTCTAAGACCCTTTTTTTTTTTTCTTTTCCTATCATGCCTGTAGAACCAGAACCATGAGGATAATGCCACCAAGGTCTATTGTCACTTAAGGTGTAGCCTGACCCCAGTCAATTAGAGCTGCATCTGCCTCTGTGTATTTTCCAGGCTGACCTTGAGGAAAACCTTCCCTAAGAAGTTATTTTCAAGCACAAAATCACATCAGTAACATTCTCAGTGTTGACTCTCTCCTATCAAGTAAATTTGAGTTTTCACAAGCTAGAACCTTCAATGGGTGGTTTCTCACCCTCAGGGCACCTTTCCTATTGTCCCAGTGCAGAGCAGTTTTCTCTTTAAAGGTGCTAAACATGAGAATGATTGTAGTAGCTTTCTATGCATCCTTCTCTTACAAGATTTCTAACTCTCACATTCCAATCACAACAGTCCTTTTTTTCATTTCTTTTTACCCCACTTGTTGCTCTTTCATTGTGAATCTGGCTACCAGTAGTGAGTTCTAACCACAATACATGCTGAATTCTATCTTGAGATTTTTCTCCACCAAATAAATCAATCAGTTACTTTTCAACTTAGCCTCACTTAACTTCTCATAGCACAGGCAGAATGCAGTTAGCTTTTTTGCCAGAATGTAAAACAAATGGTCTCTAGCCCAGTTTCTGACAGGGTCCTTAATCCTCCTCTGAAACCTTATGAATAAAGCCTCCACTGGCTTTTCTCTAAGCATTCTGGTCTTCCAAACTCCCATCAGAAGGGCTCATGCTAGGGCGTCAATAGCACAAAGTTCAAAACACTTCCACATTCCTCTGGCAAACCAAGTCCAAAGGCCTATAAACTACATGGTCAGGTTTATCAAAGCAACAATCCCACTTCTGGTATCTATTTCATGTATTTATGAATTTTCTTATTGCTGTGACGATACACTTTTTCAAAGGCAACTTAAGGAAGGAAAAGTTTAATTTGGCTCACTGTCTCAGGGTACAGTTCATCACATCAGGAAAAACCCACAAAAGTCTTGGCCACTCACACTGCACCTTAGTTAGGTAGCAGAGAGAGACTAGTCCTCAAACTCAGCTTGCCTTTTCCTTTGTATTCAGTCTGGGGCCCAGCCCATGGAATGATGCTGTCTAGGGTTAGGGTGGACCTTCCCACCTTAACCTAGAAACTCCCTAGGAATACCTACATATTTTTCTTCTACTTCTAATAGATTCTAGATTCGGTCAAGTTTACATTATTATCCATCATGCCATCTGATGAGGCAATCCCACTTCTGATGATATACCCTAAGAGGCCAACATGAGTTTACAACAGAAACATCTCATTTTCATGTTTACTGACAAACTCTTCACAATAGCCAAGTTATAAAATAAGTCTATGCACCCATCAGTGGATGACAGATAAATGTGGTATACTCAGATAATGGAGTTTTATTCCGCCAAAACGAATGTAAATATATGACTTACAGAAAAATGCTAAAACAATCATGTTACATGAAATAAACCAGACTCACAAAAACAAGTGTCATGTCTTCTATCATATGTGGAATTGGGGACAAGGGGTTAAAAGGAAAAGAAAGTCTACTGAAAATGTAGAACAGTGTAAAGGAGGTTAATCAGAAAGGTAAAAACAATAATGGGGGATGGATACTACCAATACACATAAGATGCATGTATGAAAATTTCAAACTGAAACCTATTACTTTGTATAATCAATGTACGCTATAAAAAAAGAACTGGAGCTGAAGAGACGGCTCAATGGTTAAGAGCACTGGCTGCTATTGCAGAGGACCCAGATTTGGTCCCCAGCACTCACATGGTGCCTAATAACCATTCACTTGGAATCTCCAGTTCCATGGGATCCAACACCCTCTTCTGACTTCTGTGGACATTGAACAATGCAGGTGCACTTACATACATGCAGGCAATAAACTCGTATACATAAAATAGAAATAATAAAATATTTTAAAGAATAACAGTACAGAAAAAAACCTACAAAAACTTTCCAGTAATTGAACTACCAGTTCTGAAATTTAAATTAACTAAATTTAAATAAATGCAAAAAAATAAATAAACATAAACAAATGTGTTCTTCACATGATGTAATGCTATTGTTAACAAAGCACTTATCCAACTAATGCCGCTCTTCATATTTGAAAATTAAATAACTCACTTAAAAATGTATAAAAGAAAATGTCACAGTAGAGATGAGATTATGTTTTTAATCAAAACAAAAAATGAAAAGAAAATACCAAAATATATGTAACTAAGCTAAGCCTACACTTGAAGAATTTATACCCTAAATGAAAACATCTCTAAAGGGAATACCTTTCAAAATATGTTCTCTAAATAAATGATTTTTTAAAATACTGCAAGCAAAGTTAACTAAAAGCAATATAACAAAGATAAAAGCAAAGTTACATAGGAAATAGGAAAAGGGTATGATAACACAAAGAAGTTAGAACTGCTGAGACATATCTGCAGAAGGCAAACAAAGGGAGACTAACAGTAATAATACTGGATTTATAGAACACAAGTAAAGACTCATTACAAAGACATAGTAATTAAAATGTTGTGTTACTAGAGAAAGTGGACCAGGTCAAGGGAACAAAATATATATGTAGAAGATATAGATAAATGGCACATTCTGATGAGCATTCTTATATTCATTTAGGACAGATATCAGCAAAATGATTTATGTCAAGTTAATGCAAGATTTCTGGAAGTGACTGTTGATGTGGAGACCTTTTAAACTCTTTTCTGCAAAAGGACTTGGAAAAAAAAAGGCTGGATAGGACTAGGGATAGCAGAAGTAGATAAACTATCAATAGAAAATAGTCACCTAAAAAGTCATACCCAATAACCATAAACAATATGACCCATTCCCATTCCACTGGGCATTTGCTTCACTTTGTAGCAATGTTTGTGACTGGCAAAAAATAAAAAATAAAGTACATACCAGCTTGGATCCGAAGCAAATTATTATACTACTAAAAACATACAGCATAAACATGTTCCCATAGTCAAGAAGTACATATGTAATTTCACTTGAACACTATATTAAAAGTTAACCAGGGGCTGAAGAGATGGCTCAGCAGTTAAGAGTACTGGCTGATATTGCAGAGAACCTAGTTTGGAGTCCCAGCATCCATATGACAACTAACAACTGTCTGTAACTCCAGTTCCAGGGGATCTAACAACCTCCACAGCTACAGCAGGACATCTATCCAGATGCAGGCAATATACTCATACACATAAAATAAAAAAATAAATAACAAGTTTTAAAAAGTTAATCAATTAAAGGTCAAAAAAATCGTGATACAGTTAAAAGG